AGATAAAATAGATAAATGAAATAAAAAATTACAAACACCATTTTGCACAAATGTGTGAAATATACCGAACAAAAATATAATTTACATTGAACTATTTTAACGTTTTTTCTCTTATATCATTCAACTAATTTAGAACCAGCAAACAATGTAAAAATTATATTATTTATGTTTTCATGCTTTTTACATAAAAGTTTATTTTGTTGCTAAATATGTATTTCAAAAACTAGTTCTTTCTCTATATTTCTTCTTATATGACTTAAAAAATGTGTATTCTTTATCAAATAACTAAAAATCAGCATACCCAAGTGTTTAAAGCAAATTATTGTAAATAATGTACAAATTTTCTAGTGAAAAAAGTTTTAAATAAAATAAAATGAATAAGAATGTATCCTGAGCCTTATATGCAGTACTTGCATGTACCAAAGATATCAATATTAATTATTTTAGTATCAACAAATTCAAAACCGATATATTCCAATTACTGCAGAAAGTACGCATTTTGATATAAAACAATAACTAATTCAATATTCTGTTTTTAATTAATGCACAGTGCAAATTTAGAGTAAATAGGATTACCTGATCATAATCTTGTTTGTGCATATCAGATATATCTGATTCACGAAGCCTTATTGCATGTTCAAGGTGAAACGAATTTATAATTAAAACTATATTTATTACAAAAATTAGTCATAAACCATTCAGTATAATATACCGAGAAGCCAAAATTGAATTTGATCATTGCATGTAAGATATTATCAGAACAAATATATTTTAAGCAAAAACTACAAAATAGAATGCTTGCTTATCTCTAATAATTATAACAAATAAATTTTGAAAAAAAAATTAAAATATCGAAATAAGGGTTGGAAATAAACTATAATTTGTTGCTTTTTTAGATTTCCATGAAACTAATTTTATTCTTTGATAGGTAAATTCTAAATAATTTCAAATACACATAAACATTTATTAGAATGCAAACGATATTGCAGAATTTATTTAAATAGTTTATTTTCTTTGTTCGGTTCATTAAATTATAGCATCAGTAGATTTTAGTAAATAAATCATTTTTAAAAACGTTAATATTAAAAAAACATTTTTAGGTTTATCGACTAAAAAATCATTAGATACAAATATAATATCTGCATTTATTTTCTAAATTTTGTTTCTCAATATTTAATCTATAATAATATTCTATAATAATAATTTAATCTAAATATTTTTATTTAAAATATTTAATCTCACATAAAAAATATTAGTAGATCTATCATCAGCGTTTTTATATGTTTTATCATTATTTTATATTTATGAATAGAGTTGTTTTATATTTTTATTTGCATGGTAAACCATTAAATAATAATTATGTTGGAACGTATTTTTGAATTAAACGCATTTTTAAATTAAATTTTCTCAAAAATTACAAATATTTAATAGATCTCTATATTTTAACGAAAATGTCTAGAATTCATTACATTGTAAGAATGATGGTTTATTTTCTTAAATATTTGCGTTTAAAATAATTAAAAGGTCAGGTGTGTGTCCTGAAATGATTATTCATTAACATTTTATAAAATTTATTTTCAGTAATTTTAGCGACAAATTGAAAGATATGTAATTATATACAAATTAATTATTTTTACTTCTAATTTCACTTTGAAACAGAGTTAAAGAATCGTTGTAAAAAAATATTAGCAGATCTTTCTATCTATAAATTTCAATTTCATTATGAGCAAAGTTCGTATAATATATTATTTAAGAATTGAGTTGTTTTAAATTTGAATTATTATCATGTTAAACTGCCAAAAAATAATAAATTTCATAAGCAATTTTTGAAATAAGTTATTAATAAAACGTTAAATTCGTGAAATTATTATTTTCAGGAACCAAATTCAAAAATATCAACCATTCGAAATATTGCTATATTTTGATCAAAATTTGTAGCATTCTTTACATTATTAAACAAAGAAGTTGTTTTCTTGAATATTTGAGTTTAGAATAATTAAAAGATCATGTATGTGGCTCAGAATGATTATACAGCAAAAACTTAATTTTTTTGGAATGATTCCAAATACAAGACGAGTATGGTCCAAATCTGAAACGCATTAAAACGCCACAAGGCTAAATGCGCGAACATTCATCGCCTAATAGACACATCGCAAAGTGCATCATAATATTATGGCTATGTGGACATGAATATTTATGAATTTATTTTTATTGGTTTATATTTGATAATATTGTTATTATTACATTGGCCTAGATAATCAATGTCATAATATGTTGGAGATAGAATAAGTTATTTAAACTAATTTTGTAAAATAGTCAAAGAGTATTAAAAGGCATCCACAAAAGTAACTAATCTTAATCCATAGATTAATATTAATAATAATGGGTGATCTGCCCCAGGGCAGGGCCGTTAGCTGAGGTAATAACCAACTTGAATCAGCAAAGCTTAAAAATTATTATTTTTAATTACAATCCATTATGGAATTTTTTTCTTGCAGTATCGCTGCTGTACGGAACAGCTCATTCATTAGTAGTGTCACTGAACTGGGCGATTTTAAGATATTTCCATCGTTATCAATAAAAAGGGATTGAAATTAAAAAAAATCGCTTCCAATAAACTAAAAATTACAATAAAAATTAAAATCTCGTTTAACTATGAAACTCGTTGTTTCATGGTGAAAAATCTTAAAGCAAAGACCGACACAGATCTTGCTGTTCATGGACGACATCCGTATACACAGGTCTATGGACGACACTACGTAGGGACATGTAGTTGCATATTCAGTTGAATGGATGTCGTCTATGGACGACACTCGTATGCACAGGTAGATGAGTGGATGTTCATTCGAGGCAAGAGAGTAAAGAATGCCTTTTCAGTATTCACAATGGAATTTATTTATTTAGACAAAAATTGAATACGTCAAAAAATTAATTGATATGAATGACTTTTTTTAAAATTTTATTTGAACAGCGATCAGAACTTATAGGTTTTATGAGCTGTTGTGATTAATATCTTACAACTTACAAACTATATTTGTTTTATTCCAGATGGCAACCCAAACAGTTGTCACATCTCTGTATAATAAATTTTTATTACAATCTCTGTAATAGCGCAAGTATGGTGCAACAATGCCGGCTGAGGGCTATTTTCAATTGGAAACATATTGCTATTTATATTTCCAAGTAAAAATCGTTGTCACTGTTGCCTGACAACAGGCTGCTCGAAGTGGGTATCGAACCCGGGACCTCTGAAACAAGTCCCGTCACTCTTAACCGCTTACCTATGGGCAAGTCCTAATATGAATGACTAAGATAAATCTTATAAGACAAAATTTATACAGACATAAACTATACCAGTATAAATGTCTGTTATACTTGTATATGCACATGTATCTAACAAATATGTATGTATATAATCATATTTTATAAAAGCACATTTGTGTAAATTAATTACAAACATATTTCATTGAAAACGCATATATATAATTCAGAGGCGGCAAAATGCACACAATTTTAATTACTAAAATTAAGAAAAAAATGCGCATGCAGTATCATACGAGATAGTAAACCACCCTAACTATCAAAATTCTCAATTTTTTTCAAATATAGAACTGAAGTCCTATTTTAAAATAAAGTAAGTTCAGTGTGTTCAGAGATAATCTATAATCTCCATCAAAAATGAAAAAATCTTGTATTTATTAAATAAGTTAGTAAATTTTATAAAATGACAAAGAGTCATGGATTTCCTTAGAATAAGGGTTGGAAAAAATGTTAGTTGTAAATATTAAAATAAGCAACAACCACAATTATGAATATTTAAAAAAGAAACACGAAACAGCCAAATATGACAACACAGTTATAGAATAACACATAAATATGTCTTTAGTTTGATTCATGCCAAGTTTCTGGTATATTTCAATTTGAAATGACCAGTGTCAATAAATTATTTTCGATTTTATCATAGACAGTAACAAATAAATATAAAGAGTATATAATGTAGCCAATTTTGCAAAAAGATTTAATTTTTCTTTGAGTATGTTAAATGAGATGAGCGTACTACAGTCAACCCTCGTTAACACAGTGCAGTATGGGGGCCGTACTATAAAAAACTCGTATTTAACGTACAATTCAGGCAAATTCGTACTGCGTTCTATGGAAACTTATATAGTGCAGTATAGGAACCGCGCTATGAGAGACTCAGTACAAATCGCACAATTTTTTCGTGCTGTATGGAATACAACTTGAAGTACGAGTAATACGGGCGGAATGACATGTATGACATAGACACATTATTAAAAAATTGGCGCGACGCAGAAGTCAGCTCAAACGTATTCTCAGACAGCTATTATATAATCAAGTATGTCTAAAAGATAAAAGTCGATAACAAAACTTACATTAATACCCTTTTGTTATTAAATTCCTAGAAACACTCATAGGGTTCGCTTCAACTTATGGGCTGTTGAACAAAAACCGTGTAATAGGAAGTCCGTGTAGTCGGAGGGATGTCGGATTTTTAGCTCTGCGAAGTATGGGAACCGTGTACCCAGAGTGCCGTGTTAATCGAGGGCTGACTATACACGTTTTTATCAATTTTGTTTTTGAATTACAATCTCATTTACTTCTTAAAATTTTTGATCATGATAAATAAAATTTATGTAGTAATTGTGAAGTGGTAATAATTCACGAAAATGCATCTCAGCTAGATTGAACGAATAATTTTCCTTCGTACAAAGCAGTTTTCAACACCTCAATATCGAATATTGTTCATACTTTCACGTGATGTATTTGGAAGCATCAAGTGAGCATAATTACTTTTGATTTTAAAAAGAAGTTAATAATAAGTAATTTGATGACGAACATCCGATTGCCAAATCTCAGTACCAGCTCTCTTCCCACATGAATCAAACTTTATTTATTATCACAAAGCATTTTTTATCAGGCGCGTCTGACGGACGTCTGCTAGCCGTCTTGTTAGCGACAACAATTATATTGTTATTTACTCATTGAAATTGTCACGTCCTCAGTGTGTTTTTGTGCTAGTCCCGAATCCATCTGTGTATGTGTTTTGTTTGTGTCCTGATGCGAAACATCTTTGCCGATGTTTCGGCTACCTGTATGGGGCTCCATCAGGAATGGGTTGATCCCGGGGTGGTCGATTCTGATCTTGAGGGGCGACCCCACCGTCAGCGCCGGCAGGCTGGACGCCAGGGGAGACATCGGCTGCGGGTCATCGTCGGGGTCGTCGATCGCGTTCAAGACGCCGCGAGAACACATGGCTGATAGTCGATTTTTAGGTTTATTTTCAAGTTTAATAAGTGGACAAAACTGAACAAATTTAATACTAAGGCGACCATGTTATGTAAATTTTTTTAAAATTTTATTTTTATTCTGCAATCTATAAAAATAATTATATTTAGCAGAGAATGCTGACAAGTTGTTTACAAATTAGTAGATGCCCCCAGTGGCATATTTACTAGAGCTAATATAAAAAAATGATAACCGGAACAGCAATTTTTAATAAAGCTAAACCGGTTGGGTGAAGGGGAGGGGCCATTTACATGCTAACTTAAATATGATTTTAAAATAATAAATATTATTTAAATACAAAAGAGAACAGTTTTTTAAGAAAATCAATTTTTATATTCAGAATTGCGAATTCAACAATAAAAACTTTATTATTCGATTACATGTTATACTCTTTTTTATGAGTTAAAATGTATCTTAATTTTATATTCGACAATTTACTCATATATAACTTATTGTTGCATTTATACTTGCTGTATATATTATTTTCAGATATATGATAGATAGTTGTAATTTTATTATCAAATAATTGCAAAGATTCAATTTTGACTTATACTTTTCAAAAATCAGGGACAATCCGGGACAAAAGATCTAAATCCCGGGACACAAAATGGAAATCCGAGACTTAGTCCTCATTTAAGCTTAAATTAGGTAAAAATCTCGGAATTCGAGATACCCAGCTGTAAGTCTGTAAATACTTATATATTGACACCCTCAAGTTGTCTCAAAATCTACATCTGGTAGGGTGTCAATACCATATGTAGGTTTTAGGACATCGTTAGGATGTCAATATACAAGTAATTACAGACTTACGGCTGGGTATCTCGAGTTCCGAGGTGAACTTATTATAATGACTGGACTAACTGTATTGGCCAAATCAGGACGAATGATCACCTTAATAATACACATATGTTGAAGAACTTTGAACGGTGTTTATATAAAACATTTTTAGTTTATTTCCTCAGATGTAATTATATTTATCAGTATGGGAGGTACCAATCTTAGATGAAATCGGTACTATTTGCACTCATAATATTTTTTATGCAAATAAACACACATAAATTTATAATATATATTTAATAATATATATATATATATATATATATATATATATATGTTGAGTCGATTTAAAAATCGCTTAGGCATATGTAATTTTCGGATTCTATGGATCAAACTAAGATACTTTGCTGAAGAAACCATACCTCTACTCTAAACAGAGTTCGGATGTCCCGTGCATTGACCCAAAGTTAAGGGTTGAATTTAAAATTAAATGCGTTTTGACCCATTTAGAGTGCTCCAAACGCGTCTAAATGTATAATTGATCCCCACTAACTTCGAAAGGCCAATCCACCCATGCCCAACTTTCAACCCTTTGGACCCCTCAGAGGTCACCCATACAAAAATTGCAAAAAATCATCGTTTTTGGTATATTACTGGGCCAAAAGAATTTTTTGGAACCTTTTCTTTCGGACATCAATTCATACACATATAAAAAAAATTTCACAAAAAAAAATAAAATTTTCAATTTTTTCAATGCATTTTGTCTCTTTGTTTTTATGCTAGCTAGTGGCTGTCCTAGCTCCAACATTAGAGAGGCGTGCAAAAATTTCCAGGCATGAAACCAAAAAAAACTTCAAGAAATAATTTATAAGATTTACATAGTTTAATTTAAATTTTTGTGTAAATAAATTTTATAATAAAAATAAATCGCTGATTTTTGTCATGTTGAAGTACTATAAATGATGCAAAATTTGTATGGGGGACCTCTAAGGGGAGGTTCCAGGAGGCGAACAATAGGCCCTCCGAAGTTAGTAGAGACACTATTGGGACGCTATAAATGAGCCAAAACAGTATTTTTCAAAATTTGGCTCAATCTTTGGATAAATGCACTGGACATTAGAATTCATTTTAGAGATATGGTTTCTTCGGCAAAGTATCGTATTTTGATCTCTAGTATTCGAAAATCATATCTGCCTATGTGACTTTTTTTACCAAAATTATATCCATATATAGAATATTAAAAAAATTATAACTTTAAAATTTTGGACGTGGATACAGAACGTCTGTCGGATATATATATATATATATATATATTAAATATATATATGTATATATATATATACATATATATTTACATATATTCGCTATATTATATATTTTAATTAAAATTATAACGATAACTTTCACGTGAAATTTGAAAATAAATATTTCACTTTTTTTTACATGAAATATTATCATTAAACGATGTTATTAACAATACATCTTGTATGACATCAGTGTTATTTTACGAAATTTTGAAAAAGTAATAAACACTAAATAAAAAACAGGACCACAGACCAAAAAAATACTTTTTATATTCATTTATGACCCAGTTATATTTTATTTCTATTTATCTCGATAATTATTGCATCCTAGCTGCTTAGTTGATTATGTAATCTCTGATGAGCTTAAAATATGCATTGGTCAGATAAATATTGCTTTTGAAATTAATCATTTCAATGATCAGTTATGAAAGTTAGATTCTAATAAGAATCTATTAAAATAATCTAACAAGAATGATACTGAAAAAGTTTATAATTCGATTAAGTTTTCGATTCTAATAAAAATTAAAACCAATTGTGAGTAAATTACAAAAAACATTTTTGTATAAATAATAATACAAAATTTAAAGTTAAGAATAAGAAAAATTCTTTTACTGAAGCTACGTCAAGTAGATCTCAAAATTACATACTCATCATAATTAATCCTGCTAATTTTAACACCTGTTTTGGAATAAATATGCAAATAATACTAACATTGTTTTTAAAGTGTAAATAAATCAATGGAATTTACAGAGTAGTTGAAGAGAAATATTTGGGATTTTTTAAATTATTAATATATGATTGAAGCAATATGAAAAATATATGGAAAATCTTATGGTTCTGATAAAAATATTTTATATATTACAGATTTTTTATTGTATTGGATTTTATGTTTTAAAAGTTTTAAATTTTTATCATATCATTCTTGCATTTGTTATTGATAGTTGATTGAATTAAAAAGATGCAATGTTATCAGCATTTGTATTGAATTACTAAACTCCCATAAAATTAATTGTTCAAATGCCTGAAGAATTAATAAAATGCATTACATTTTTTTATTACATTACTGTCGTATAGTAAAACTGAATTAACAAAAATAAACAAAGAAATTCCACTGGCATAATTCTTTGCCAAAATAAAATATTGTTCCTATTCTCAAATATCATTGACCTTTAAGCTTGGCAACGAAATGGCCGAATAATACGCACACGACTTCGATCTGAATACTTCCTAGAATAAATTTATTACTCATGAAAATAAACCGAGACAAATTATAATGAAAGATACATGGGAATTTTTGTCTAGTTTGAGTTACATTCTATTCGAATATAGGTCACATTAAATAATAGCCCTACGAAGGGATACTTCTGCAGGAAGATAATAAAAAATCGAAGATTTGATTTAAAATACATTTGATGCCTATTTATTAATATAAAATTTAGGAACAACCTATATAATATATGATCTATGTAAGTTTAAAATAAAATTTTTATTTAGAACGTACAAATTTTGCTCATCTTTATTACACTCTGTTTATAAGTAAATGTTTCAAAATCAACTCTAAATACAAATACAAATTAGTTTTTACCAATTTTATTTTATTTACTGTGTTTAATTTGTCAGAATTTTTCAGTAAAGTTTCCAAAGATAATAGAAAGCATAATTTAATCTATGAAATTATATTCTAAATTTTTAATAAAATAAAAGTTCATACAATGATAAAATAGCTCATCAACGCATTTATCTTAAATTTTAAACGGTTTGATTATTAAAATAAATATTTTTGAAAGTTATATAGCTCTAATAGTTAGATATTGATTTATAAATTTTAAATAATTATTGCAGAATTTATTATTAAGAAAATGCTTTCTCAAATGCCCAGCTAAAACATCTGTATTCCACCAAGCCTAACTCTCATATTTATTTAGTTTAATTTTAAACTAATGATACAAAAGGTATATTTTATCATATTCAGTTACACTTCAAATAAAAATTAGGATATAATATACATAATATGTATATTATTACTATGAATTAAATGTCTTTAATGAACTCATTGTTAAAAAATATTGTCTTTACCGGCTTACATATAGAGTGTAAATCTTATAAGATATATAAGTATTTTTTTAAATAAAACTTCTTTAGGCGCAACTAGAATGTAAATCCGTACAAATGCAACGGAAATGCGTTACGTCAGAACTGTACGTCATTCGCTCTCGATGATATCATTTCAATAAGGGTCGATTGTGATTAGCCGTCGTGTATATAAATAGAGATCTGCGTACCGGCATCAACGTTGTATGCGTACCGATATCAACAAGAAAATCGGCATATATAAATAAACATTTTAAAGTTAGATCGTAGTACAAATCTTGATTTAATGAAAAATTCCTGAATCAGAAGAATATTTTACCTTGTTCCTTGAAAATAATAAAACAAATTAACCATTTGTGCCGTGTACTTAACGTAAGTTTATTGACTAGAAATTATTTCTATATTATTCGCAGTTTCTATAAATCTTTGAAGTTATTAAAATGAAAAATACCTCTTAAGCAAGACAGATATTACAGCTGTTCAAAGAATGAGATTATATCGCAAGCGAAAAAGTATAGAAAATACCAGCAGTCAATGAATGTATGTTAATTTTATTTACATGAAGTTCTTCAAACACAATTACATGATAAATGAAGTTGCGAAAGCAATATTTGTTTAGCCGTTGTTTAACATAATTCCCTGTGTGAACAAATACTATAGAATTTATTGATCAGCAATTACTTTATTTCTCTAATGAAGGTTCATTTCTTCAAACACAATTACATGATAAATGAAGTTGCGAAAGCAATATTTGTTTAGCCGTTGTTTAACATAATCCCCTGTGTGAACAAATACTATAGAATTTATTAATCAGCAATTACTTTATTTCTCTAATGAAGGTTCATTTCTAAATGCTAATTACAATGACAAACCGATCATGTCATATTTGAAGTATGACTTTAATTACATTATTGCTTTTAAATATTATACATATTTTTAATGCTATTATAAATATATAATTTATAATTTATCATTATATAAATGTATAATGGGTGACACTAATAAATGTGTGCATCGCGAGTGTTACCATATTACTAATAATCAATATTCAAAATTGTTATATGATGTATTTATTTTTACTTGAATGCCATCTTGAACAGCAGCAAATAAGTTTTACTTCAACCGCATGTGAACCTTACGCGCACTCTTTTTTCTCCATTTTTTCAATCATACAATAATAAAAAAATAAGTTTTTATCAAAAGATTCGATGGAATAATATCGCCAGAATGATAAACATATTTTTTAAAAGAATTATAACTGACTAAATTCGGTTTAGACCTATAGACCAAAATCTTATCGCGCTGATGTCATACAAAAATGTAATTAATTTTTCATAAATTACTCACTTATCAAGCTCGTCAAACGCTCACACTTCAACCCACTGTTTAGATAAAACTTAAAAAACCATTCCTAATCATTTTTCATCACCATCTGTATATCACAACAGTTTTGCTCATACTAAAGATGAGAAATTTCACATGAACTCGACTCAATGTATCTAATAATAAAACACTAATGAGTCCGCGGCCAGAAACGTTTCTGAAATAAATACGCATACCATGATCTGGTTAAAACTAAAAACCAAAGTGTTAATTAGAAACTCAATATAATATGATGACGATCTGCTGCTAAACAATAGAAGACTGGACGAAAACTACGCAGTATTTGCTCTGGAATTAATATTTGGCGGCTGACGATAGTTAAACAATTATATTCGTTGATAATATTGTTTGATAAACAAATTCTTCAAAGATAGCACATATATACACCTATGTACGATAGACATAGCATAATTATTTGTGGCATTGAACTTGATTGATAATAGAAAGACAATTTTATATATATTTACTGGACGACTCAATTTTTGCGAAAAAATTCATTTATGATTTGCACAAAAATTATTTGATTATCTTATATCAATAAGAAAAGAAATCTCCATATCAAATCCTTGTAAAGATTACTTAACATGTAAAGTACGAGCTTTTTGTTCAAAAAGCTATTCTTTGTCGAATATCAATTCGCAATTATTATACATATAATATCAAGTTAATATAAAATAACTGAACCAATTTAACATATAACTCTAAATTATATGAAAACATAATATATTAACTTAGGATATTATATCCTAAAATCATATTAACCAGTCAAATTACTTCCTTATTTATATTGTTTGTTGTTTTTCAATATAGTGTTAGTAACAATAGTTAGTTTTGTTAGTTATAACAGTGATAAATCAGAAAAATAAGTTAAAATCTAATTGTACACAATTAGAGTAAAATTAAAATTGGATACATGAGATGGAATCATCTCTTTGATAATTTTAATTCTATTCCTAATAATATAATGATACTGTACATTGAATCATGAAAGATGATATTTTGTACTTCGGTTCAAATTACCACCGAAAATCAATGTTAGAATACTAACAGATCATTATATATACATCATTTATATTACAAAATAACTGTTATTTTTTTAGAATAATTCAATAAAGTTAACGATTCCAAAATGTATAATTAGTATATTTTCAGTAACGATAGAAATTTTTTTTAAAGATTTTATCAATGAATCGTATAGAAAAATGAATGTATATGCATTTAAAATCTGGTTGGTAATATACAATTAGAGAAGCAAAAATTTTATTGTATTATTATTACATATAAGTACATTCAGCAACAATATAATAAATATTTTTTTTTAATATTTTATCAATCAAACAGATAGGTAAATGAATTTACATGCATTTAAATTCTAGTTGGTAATATCCAATTAGAGAAGCAATTATTTTGCTTTCTAAACTACTATGGTGTACCTACTAATATACTGTTGCTACCTTACATTTTTCTTTATTTTTTTATTATTTAAATAAATATATAAACAATCATTTAAATCAAATTAAATGTGATTTCATTTGATTTTAATAGGAACTTATAAGTTTCATAATAAATATATTTATGCCGGTAAGTCTAATTTTATAAATATTCTCTTTTCATATTAAATTGACAAATCATTTTTATATAAGCTTAAAAATAAATGAGATTAATTAAAAATTATTTGATAAAAATATTATACATATTTCTCACAGAATATATTCATCATGAACTTTAGAATTTAACAAATTCCATTAAGACAAATATTTAAATATGACGATGAATAAGAAGGGGATATTATTTTTTAAAACATAAAAAATTAATTAAAAAAATTGTTGTCAAGTATGATTATGAAAATATATATGTAAAGTCTTTATTGATTAAAAACACAAAATTTTTAAAAGATTATGAACAAGTCGTTTTGGCTATCTTGATTGGGAGTTGTATTATTGGCAAAAGAAAAAGCGATCAGGATGGCATAACATTTTAATTTGGAAAAATATTTATTAAAATGACCGAAATCCTAAAAAATCATTCACTATTTATCGTAGACAGTCATTTCTTCATTAAATATGCATGAAGATGCATTAAATCAATTTATAAGATTTGCGAAAGGGGTTACATGGGTTTCACGGTTTCAAAAAATCGATTTTATTTATTGTCTTATTAAATTTTATAACATATCTAGAATATTGTCCTAAATTTTCAAGTTGATCCGACCAATAGTTTCGGAGATACAGCCTTGAAAAGGTGGAAGCTCGAGATCCACTTTTATTGTCTTTTAAAACTTTAAACGCGTTTTTCTCAAAACTATGTTTTCGAAGGCGGTTGTCAAGATTTCTTGCGAACTACTCAACAGATATTGATGAAATTTTACACTGGTCTTCGAGATATCATTTACAAGGTCTTGAACGAAGAATTTTTTTTAAAATTACAACAATTTAAAAAAAATGACGAGAAATTTTTATCAAAATTGGCATTTTTTTATAAAAACGTCTGCCAAAAACCAATTTTTATTTTATTTCCTTCGTCCAATACCTAGTTTATTTTTTTCACTAAAACACGTATATTTTATTTTTATTTGGGATGATCCTGAAAGAACTTCTGCTGACAACGCGGAGGCACCATTTTGCCGAGGGACTGCCGGAAATGGCGTCGTAATGACCGCCATTTTGATTTTTTTTTTTTTGAAAATTTTACAAAATGTTTATTAAATATGTAATTTTCAAATAAAAAAAATCATTAAAATATTTTATATTTATATGTAAAAAACATATTAAAAGAAGGCCGTTTTTTGTCTGAGGAAACCCATGGAACCCCTTAAGAAACATTCTGCTAGAGTCTGATTCAACTAGTAGCCCTAAAGTTGCATTAAATTTGATTTTTTAAATAGATAATATATGTTTTTCATAAGTGTTTTTTAACAACTATAAATCTGAATGATGATATGCAATGCTACATACATGAATTATTATCTAATGACATACGAGTGTATCAACAATTAGCGCCTTATAAATATGTACAAACATGTACAGAAAAATTGAAAGGTCATGGAATAACCAAGTACCCATCAACCAAAAAAATAATATATAATTTGCTTGATAAGTTATCTATATCATGTATAATATCTTTGATAAATAATGGTTTAAAGAAAAAACATATTGTATTACTTACCTTTTATATTCCTATTAGGTAAATCATTTTCTTCAGAATCAGAATGCGAATTGGTTCCAAAATTGTTATGCCTGCTCTTCGAAGTGGCTGATTTCTGGTCACTCATATTTTAATTAAATTATATGCCGTACATATTTAACAATCATTTATTATAATCAATAAACAAACACAAAACAAGTGGTTGTATTAACACACAAATTAATACATACAAGAATGCTATTCGAAGCTGTCAAAATAATAATATAGAATTGACACTTGGGGAATCGCATGCGCCGTAGAATCGTTTGTTTTTTATGGCCTGTGCGCACGCAGAGGGGGACTGACACGTTGCGTGTGAAATTTAAATGGAGCACGTGTTGGGGACATGATAAGTTTTGATATAATTTTATCGATTTTTTAGAAAATAATTGACTTTTGCGGTTTGGTACCAGTAAGATTCAGAATTTAAACTGGCTGTAATATTATATTTTATTTATTAATCAGAACTCTTACTTTACATGTTCTATAAGCTGTTTGTTGAAGACTTATGACCTAACGTATTTTATGAGAGGCAACCCATCGGTTTACCATTCTCCTATGTGTGGGGTTTATATTAGCTCTTACGTCTAATAGTTATCATATGATTGAATGATGCAGCTATGTCCACGAAGGACGATTTTCACTTGAAATTATGTTGTGATCTATAACCCCAAGTGGAAATTTGACATCAAAGTTGCCTGATGTCGGGCTAAGGCGGTAGCGGGAATCGAACCAGCGAACCCGGGACTAATTGGTGCTAGCCTACGTTCTAACCGATATCGCCACCGCTGGGTCAATATTATGTTTTTGACGTGGTTTTTTTAGGGTTTGGTCTATGTTGTATATGACTGAATCATCATTTTCTAAATACACAGAAATTAAAAAAAATATTAGTCACCTATCCATGAAAATAATTTCTATAACTTGCAATAATGATAATGTAATGCTCTACTAAATAACAAATTTACGATTTGGTTTAATGACCATACATCCCAAATTAACCAAGGAATTGGCCACTCCCGGAATTCTACCTAGCGTCCCGGAATTTTTTAAAAGCATTATTTGCCCCTTACTTAGATTTTTTCTCCCAGCTTGTTCTAAATTTTCGATACGTTATTTATTGCTAATATTCGATTTTTCGATGTAATATATTACATCTAAAAAGATAATTAGAAAATTTGAACCGAAAAAACAACACACAAAAAGCGATATTATCTACTAAAACTAGTGAAATGCATGGCATGGAAATTGCTGAAACTTCCCGTACCGTAATTAAAAATCTTGGTACGGAATCCAAAAAAATTGTGTACACATTATTAAAATCTCTATAAAATATCTGATAATTTGAGGTACATATGTCCAATAAACAATTTTGACCACCAAATGACATTTTTTTAAATTATTTTTATTGAGAGTCTATAACCGCTGAACCTGCCTCCCCAAACATTTAATCAGTTCTTCATCTTGTCAATACGAGTAAAATGTTTTTTGAATTATTAAAATCGGACGCTCAGTTCTCTTAAAAACTCTGTTACCGTTTTTAGCACTTCTTGCCCTGTATCTTCGGAACGGCTAGACCTGCCTTCGCCAAAAACTTATCAGCACGTCTCCTTATCAATACAAATCGAATGCTTTTTTGAATTATTCAAATCAGTTGATCAGTGTTCTCGAAATCGTTCACGAAAATTTGTATCCGCACACACAAACACATACATCCATTTTTCCTAAGGTATGCCAAAATATTTAAAAACCTTTGAAACGTAAAGATATATTAAAATTTTCATTTTCGATTTTTTTGCAATTACTATAACTTACCCTACGGAAAATTAAAAATAATGCTACTTATATCAGGTAGCCTGTTAGAATGTACTTAAAAAAATAATATTTCTTTTTAACCAAATTAATTATTACTATTATTAAAAATAAATGTTCTAAATAATAAATGTTATTAATTCTCG